CTCAGACACAGTTTCAAAGCTTCATGCATTTCCCCAGAAAGCCCCCTTCCCACCACCCTGGGGTTCAGCTGAGTCCTGCTTCACCAGTGCTGTGTTGCCTCCAGATTCCAGCATGCCTTGCATCTAAGCTCCTGACTATTGTTATGGCAGCCAGGGGGACAATCACTGTGTTTATCTGCCACTGCTGCTAGTGGTAGATATCATTCTCAAGGAAATTAACAAATCTTGCCTTCTGTGATATATATTTGTAGCAAGAATGGACCTCAGATAGGCCTGACACCTCAGCCTCTTGAAGGATGCTCCCAGGAAACTGGTCTTCCATTACTCAGCCCTGTGGGAAACACTTGGGTACTTATTGGGGTTACAGACACCAGCTGTTTGCACCTGGTGAGCAAAGCGCATACTCACAGCCTCCTCAACTATCAACACATCTGGGGCAGGAAGCCAAGCGGGTGTTAAACCCAGCGTGAGAATGGCAAAGGAAGTCTTAAGCCTGGCAGACTTCTCATTCCATTAGGTGGCATTATCCATAGCTTTATGTCCGCATGGAGCCTGAGGGAACCCTGTAACTGTATCTCTGCCTGTGGGGATACTGCTGGGACCTACTCTGTGGGACCGTCTCTGTTAGTGTAGGTATTCTTTGCCTTTAAGGAAACTTTAAGTCTCCCGATACCCTTGGTGCCTCTTTCAGTCACTATCCCATTGTGTCAACTTTGCACTGGCCTTATTCATCTCAATAAGATCACACATCCTTCTGTAGGAAGACCGGTGAAATAAGGAATACATAAATGTTCACTGTAGCCTCTACTGTGGCTTAAAAGATACCTAGCCTACGGGCATTCCTTGAAAAACGTCTTTTTGCATGCATGAATGAAGAGAGAGACGTAGTTCACCAATGACTGCAATGACAAAAATGTGCTAAGATCTGCCATGGGCCAGGCACTGTGCAGGAAATAAAAATAAATGAAAGACAGGGTCACTGTTCTCAAGAGCCTTGCAGCCTGGTTGGGAGCAAGTAGCAGAGACCTTTCCTGCTTACAGAATGGCCATGTCCTTTCACACATTTTCCAAGTTCTTCATAATTAGGCTGATTCTAGCCAGTGAGCTGTGAGCAAACGGGATGAACGATGATGCTTGGAGGCTGAAGCATTTAACAGCCCCAGTCAATGCTCCAGCTGTCTTTTCTTGACACGGTGTCCACGGCAGCCGCCATCAGTCTAGGTCCCTGAACAACTGTGTGCAGCAGAGACCCCTGCCTGATCGCACTAGATATGTGGGCTGAGCAAGAACACAGATGACTTTACAGATGCAACCAAGATTTAAGATGAATTTATTACCCCAGCGGAGCCTAGTCTATTCTAACACTGGGAAGACACATATATGTGAAAAGTGATAAGATCAGATAGCACTTGATCAGCATCCAATGAGTAGTGTGGATAAGACGCTCCAAGCTTAGCCTTGACCTGCAGGCTTTGCCTTTACTGTTCCATCTTCCTAAGAGTTCTCCTTCCACATCCTTTTGTGGGTGGCTCCCTCCTGCGATCCGGGTCTCAGCTATAAAGTTACCACCTTGAAACACCTTTCCAAGGCTGGGCTGGGGCCACACGGGGAGGCTAGGGTGACCGTGAGCTGAGTGGGTCAGCTGGGGTGGAGGACCACAGTGGGAAGAAAGTAGCTGAGAGCTTGAAATGCTAACTATAGCTGCTCTAGGGCCAAGGGAAGCTGTCTGAGGGTGCTGACTGGGAGCAATGTCCCCAAACCCACTGTTCAGGAAAGGTTGGCTGGATGGGGATTTCCAAGCTATAAGCCCATTGAAAGAGGCTGAGGACAACGGCATAGGCGTTAGGCTGTGAAAACCATCCAGACACACGATGACCAGAGGACAGGAGGAATATGATGAAGGAAGGATCAGCAAACCTTTGTCCAAAAAAGTTCCCCAATACCCACTGCCACACAGTTGAGGGGTGGGAAGAGAAGGAGCCAGGTCTAGAGTTCAAAGCTTCTTTCTACTGGATTCTCAAATTCAGCGGTCCCTCTCTGAGCCCTCTGGGGTACCCAGTCTAAGGTAGACAAGAGCAATGCCCCAGAACAAGGCTCACTGGGGTTCCTGATGGAGACCCAACACACCACTTCAGTACAGATGGTGAGAAACTGACATCAAAGTCACACAAAAGAGATTCACATTTTAGAGGTGGAATCTGAGTCTGAACCTTAGTAAAGTGAGGGTATAATACTTCCCTTCCTGGCCATGCAGTTTTTGTGAAGATGAAATGGAGTTACAAATTTTATTTTAAGTTTAAAAATACTTTATGAGTATCACTCTCAGAGAGAACAAAATGTACTTGTTAGGATTTTATCTCCTTTCCAGGGCACAGACTTTCTTACGGAGTCCTGGACATTGATTTAACAGCCCAGGGTAGCCGCTTTGGTCTGGCCAAGGAGGGTGTGTCGGTAGAAACAGTGAACATAGCTTCATGATGTGAAAGCTGTGTTACAGCCCATTTTATTTGTGGCTTTAAACAGAAGAATTAAGGCCCCGCCTCGCACATGGGAAGTACTCACTAAATACTTATTAATGAGTTTTCTATTGTTGCCCATTCAATTTCTCTTTCATCTTTATCACTATCTAGAGCAATGCAAGAAAAGAGAGATAATGTAACACAAATGAACAGCAAGAAGAAAGGTCGACATCACCACTGACTTCCTGTCCCTCTTTTTCCTACTTCCTGCCCATACACTCAGCAATGTCCTTTCAACTGGCTCTCCTACCTCTCCCTATTCTGTCACATCCTATTTCCCTGCTAAGTAATTTTGCAGACAGCTCCCGTCATGCCACGCTCTTAAAAGAAATCCTCAGTGGTGCTAGATCAGGACCACATGGAGTGAGTAGGGGACATTTATTTCTACTCCTGATGTTTCCTCCATGCGGTGGGAATGTGATTAGTTGTAATGTCTCAGCTTGTCTTCCCCCAGCTTAACCATCTCTCCTCTTGAGTAAGAGAAGGAGGAGTAGCTTATCTTATTGTTGAGTCTGGAAGAGGACGCTGGCATTCCTTGCCTAGCCTCTTTTTCTGCCCTTACTTGGAGGGGGAGCTAAGGGCCTGCAGGAAGCAGGTGTTCTTCTATGTCCCTCCAAGTTCTAAGTTCACAGGGCTGGCCCATCCACCGCTGCCTGCCGTGGAGAGAGAATGTCTTTTTGGCTCTTCTCCTAAGCTATACTGCCTTCCATGTAGCCTTTCTCAGTTTTACAGCTGATATTTTGGCTTTGTCTACTCTTGCCTTGATCTAATTTCTCAGCTGGTCCAGTCATCAGGCCAGGAAGATGGTACTGTTTATTGCTGAATGTCCCTGGGAACTCCAGCAAACACTTTTCCATTATCTATGAAAAAAATCGGAGTCCTCAGCCTGGCATTTTAGATTTCCCATCAAAAAGCAAAAGAAAACAAGAAAACACGAGCTAGTTAACTCCGTTGGCCCAGTTTCCCACTCCATCATGCCCTGGATGTGCCCTGGACCTAGAGCCCCGGCACTGGGCTCCCCTGGCATCCTGTGCATGCTTCATGCTTTCTTTCTCCCATACGCTGAGCTCAGCTCCTCCTCCGCTGGTGTTCAGCTCAACCAAGACTCTCCCAATCACCCAAGTGGCTCATTTGCCACTTTCCTGCATGCCTTTCCTGACCCCCTGATCACTCCCTTCAGTGCCGTATTTCTCGCTTGGTTTCCTTTGCCAGGAATCTCCCTCTCCTCCTGCCCATCCCCTCCTCCCTATATGCGTGCCTGACTCTCACTTATCTCTGAGCTCTACAGTTAAATGCCTCTCCCTCCAAAGCCTCCTGAGTCCCCAGGAGTGTTGGATGTTCTTCCAAAGTGCTTCCATAGAATCCTGTCTATCATTAAATATGCTGAATTAAAATTCTCTGCTTATTTTTCTCAAGAAGCTTATGAAGACACACAGATAACACTCATAAATATGCACACTCCTGGAAATAGCAGAGCTGCCCCTGAGGATGCTAAGCGGCCGACGGCAACACAGAAGCCAAAGCGAAGTGCTCAGCATGGGTAGTGTTTCAGTAGAGGCCAAGCAGGGGAAAGGCACAGACAGAGCAACTTTCTGGAATTCTCCAGTCATCAGGAGAAGGCTCCTGAGGAGGTGGCTATCCTATCAAGGGTCCGTGAATTAAAGACATCATCCATACCATCAATGCAACCTCCCTATGAGGTTAACAAGAAGTTGGGAAACCTCGTCCCTAGTGTCAGAGAGGGAAATCCCTACATTCAGAGAGGGAAGGGATGAATCCAGGCCACCCAGAATACATACAATGGGACAGGGTCTCGACTGTCAGCCTCCCCCATCCAATAAGCACAAATGCCAAATGCCAAAACGTGGTGCTTGGGCAACAGCGGCTTACAGCTCAAATGACACGTCTGAATATTGAGGCCATTGCATTTTTCTCACTGGTTTGAAGCTTGGGAAGTCTGATATGCCTCTTTGAAGTCTACTGAGTGCCCGGGGAATGTGTGGATTTTCTGGGGCCTCTGACAATACGGGGATAGATAAGACCAATAAGACCCTCTTGGGCTCAAGTATCAAGAGGCTTTCCTCAACTTTATAGATGCTGCTGGGAAAATGAGAGCTAAAGCTCTGTACTTTTTAACAGGAAGTCTGCCTTGCTTCTAGGTTAGGCTAAAAAGAACAGACCCTGTGGTTTATCCTTAGGGAATAGTGAGTGTCCTGTCACATGAGGCAATCAACACAGGCTAGAGGACTTGATCAAGAATGTTACAGGAAGGATTCCTGCCTTTAGAGAAAGCCCTTTGGCAGCCCTGCAAATACACATACGTTGCACTTCCCCATTCCTCTAATTAAAATTCACTGTACAAAGCGTCCTGTCCCTGTCCCTTTTTTTTTTTTTTTTTTTTTGGTTCATTATCACCAAAAGCCTTGCACACATTGACTTAAAGAGGGCCTAGGACAGCCAGAAGATTCGGTGACACAGTACCAATTTTGGTGAGCCACTTGGCCACAGCACCATAGATCTCGTCCAGGATGAGGATGACCACGAGGTTGATGATGACTGCTGTTGCTGTCACTGTCACCCGGACATTGGAGCGTGTAGCCTTATTGAGAGACAGAGCGGCTGCTGTTGTTATTCGATACACAATCACCCCAAAGACGATTGAGAACGTCAGGGCAATCTGTTTTGGGGAAAACAGAGAAAAATACACATCAGCAGGCAATTCTTGAGCATCTACTATTTGCTCTGCCAACAGGACCATTTGCTATTATCAGATATTATTAATCTGGAGTCTTTTGGTGGGTAACAAGGGAATCTTTTGGTGGGTAACAAGGGATTCTAGATATTATGAGTCTGGAATATTTGACTGGGTAACAAACTTTTAGGCAGAGTTCTGAGGGGAGGTGCATTTTCCAGGGGAGGATGTCTTAATTTTTATCAGAATGGAAATGATTTATCACACACACACACAATAAGGATGAACACGCTGGACCCTGTGGAGTGTTCAACATACATGATGCAATTTCTTTCGTGAGGGAGCTTTTGATCTTCTATGGAAATAACGTGAACTCCTTTTAAACAAACCATAGTAAATAATGCCCAAGAATGTATTAAGTGCTAAATGAAGAATATTATTGCTGAAGGAACTCCAAGTACATGGGAGCAAGTAAATTTGGGTGGCCAGGGAATAGTCTGTGGAGACAGTGGGATTTAAAATGGAGTTTTCATGAGAACAAATAGAAAGCCACTGAAGGTACCTGAGCTGAGAAGGGATGAGTTACAGCTTGATAAGTAGAGGCAAGAAGGCTGCTCAAAGGAGAAAAGAGGGAATACATCAAGAGTGAGATTTTAGGAATCTCAGTCCTCAGGATGACCAAAATATCACTGCAAGATTTCTCTACTAGGTGACCTGAAATGGAGGACTCAGATTCCTCATTTGGTACAGAAGTGTCCAGCTGCTGTGCTCCAAAAGGAGGGTTATAGCCACGTGACCTCTAAGGGTCTCCTCATTTCCTCTCTCTAGAACCTAAGAATAATAAGGCACTCTCTTAGACCTAGATCTGCCCAACAGCCCCTCTTCCTTCTTCTGCGCCCATGTCCCCTCCTGTCCCCATCACAACCAAGGAAGGATCATTTCCAGGAAGAATAAGGATGCTATGAGAAGAAAGTGCTCTGAGTAAGCCTCTTAGAGGGGACAGAAGAAAGAGAGACAACTGCTAGGTGCATGCCCCGCTCAGAGCAAATTCTAACCTGCTTCAGTCAAGACTTCTTCAAGAAAGAAGCCTTCCTTCTTAGGACTCTTTCTGTAAAGGAAACTGTTCAGGTCCTATTTCCTCTGCAGGACAGAGAATGGGCACTGGCTATGAAGAACTAAATAGAAAACGTGGGGAGAGAACACGGCAGGTAGAAGGCTCCCCAGAAAAAATAAGCTGTGCTGGACTACACACACACACACACACACACACACACACACACACACACACACACACACACGGAGCGGGGCAGGAAGGAGGGGTTGAGAGGAGGGGAGGAGAGGCACAGGAGGAAAGGGGAGGGGAGGTGGGGGCCTCTGGCTTGGGCAGTGCTTTGCAAGCAGTATGAATGACACTCCAGTGGCTTGCCAGTGGGTTGCAGATGTGTCCAGATATGGATGTTTCCAGACCTCTGGTGGGTACCTGGGGTGTGCTGGTGGCAGACTCAGCTCTTTATCCTGGTGGGCTTCAAAAACTACCAGTAATTGCCCTATGGGCCGTGTTGTGAAAAAGAAGCCCTTGGTAAGGAAGGCAGAAAGGTGGCGTTCTCTGGGCAGAGGAAGGCTGTGTGTGTTTGGGTGTGTGTGGGTGTGGGGAGAGGAGAGGTTGGATGGGAAAAACACTCTGTGTGAGGCCCCTCTTCTGCTGCAGGGTGGGGGTGGGGAGCGGCAGAAACACCAGCCTCCAGGACTAAGTAGGGACTACTACCGTGTAACTGGGAAAACCTGGACATGACATCACCCCTCTCCAACAATGTAGACATGTTCACTTTCCATTCCTCTGGGATTGTCACTGCTAGACAGTAAGGGCCTAGAAAATGTGGTGTGAGATTCTTTTCCCCAAAAATCACTTTTGCAGTGAAGACCAGTGATGAAAGTATTGATGAGGCTGGAGAGGTGAGGGTATCGAGGAGTGAGTGAATGTGTGCGCGCGCGCGTGTGTGTGTATTTGGGGGTTGGGATTGGGAGATAGACTAGGGGAAAAAAACAATGGCAAAAACATCCTTTGTTTAGGGTCTTATGGGAGGGACATGGAGGAAGGTGTGGGGAGAAGATCAGCTTCTATTCTCCTCTAAGAGGCCCAGCTGCTGAACTAGAGAAGGAACACTCTTTGCTACTAAAAATGTTGTCTAAGGACCAGCTGCATCAGCTGGAAGCTTGATTGAAATGCAGAATCTCAAGCACAACCCCAGACCTACTGACCCGGAACTTGCATTTTAACATAATTCTTTTTCACATTCAAGGAGCACTGTTCTACTTACCTAGGAAAGCCTTCTTTCCCGCCCTCCCTTCCTCCCTAGCCCCACTCCCGGCACACCTCACTCAGCTCTCTGATTCCTTGCAGGTTTACCTTCTCTGGTCTTGATTTCCTATCCCACTACAGAAATCAAGCTCTGAGCCTCTCGTTTGGTGTTTCCCAGAGCATTTCAAGATCCACAGAGCTTTCAAGTTGCAGGAACTTGCAGAGCACCAACCCAGCCACATGACCATTTTGCAGATGAAGAAACAGGCATGGAAAAGTGAAGCGATTTGCTGAAGTCCACAATGTGGACTACAACCCTACTGTTCTGGATCATGGCAGAAATTTTAAAATCTTAGCATTTAGGAATCATCTATGTACAGTCTTTAGTCTCATACATAAGGAAACTGAAGCCCAAGAGGCAACAATGTGATTGATCCAAGGTCTGGAGGGTATATGGTAGAGCTGAGCTGTTAATGGTGATAACATCATCAATACCAGCTGAACTACTTGTGCCTTCTAGATGTCTTTATTCGATGCATATATTCACTAGCACTGCTTCTTTTAACTACCATGCAAGACATGCCTTTAATACATGAGATTTAATGATGATTTAGGATTTGAACCCTGCTCCATGGTTCCAAAGTCTACAATCCCATCCTGACATTAGAACCCAGGTTTTCCAGCACTAAATCCAGTACTATTTCCACCACTTGTGGTTACATTATTTATTTACTTTTTCTTTTTTTGTTGTTGTTTGAGATAGAGTTTCACTCTTGTTGCCCAGGCTGGAGTGCAATGGTGCAATCTTGGCTCACCGCAACCTCTGCCTCCCAGGTTCAAGCGATTCTCCGGCCTCAGTGTCCCAAGTAGCTAGAATTACAGGCGTGTGCCACCACACCTGGCTAATTTTGTATTTTTAGTAGAGATGGGGTTTCTCCATGTTGGTCAGGCTGGTCTCCAACTCTCTACCTCAGGTGATCCGCCTGCCTCGGCCTCCCAAAGTGCTGGGATTAGAGGCGTGAGCCACCGTGCCCAGCCCACATGATTGATTTTGTTTATTAAGTTCAATACATATTTTCTGGTTGCTTATTGTGCAAACCACTGCACTGGGTATATTCCGTGTTTGTGATCTGTCTCTTCCAACTAGGTCAAAAGGAGGTTTGTCTTGTACCACATTCTGTGCCTTAAAGCCACTTCATGGCAGCGCCTCCTGTAGAACTGGTTTGGTAAAGATTCGCTGGTCAGCAGCTCTAGGGGATCTGGCTGCCCTGCACACGGTCATTTTATTATGGTTCCTGTTGTTTTCGGTGTTTTCACATCACAACTTTACTTCTGGGGCATAAACAAAATGCAACATAAGCCAGGCTACAGAGTCCAGAGTCCTACTTGACACCAAGAGCGAGACAGGAAAGAGAGGAGGCCTCTTCATCGCCCTCCAGAACTTGCATTCTGAAGCAAAGTTGAGAAAATCATTGCACACATACAACAAAGATGAGCCTAGTAGCAGCTGGATGGAGTCACAGGCCTCTGTTCACGAGCTTCTGGTATGCTCTCAGCAGAGAGCAGGGGGATTAGTCAGAGAAAACTCCACAGAAAAACGTTTTGGGACAGTTTCCTGTGGGAAAGACTGAGAGGCAAGAATAAGCAGGAAGAACTTTCCGGAAAAGGGAAGAGGAGCAAGTAGCAATGCACAAGGCACAAGTAACCTCTGCTGATCCCCAGCATGCCACACAATAGTAGCTCAAGTATAAAAATACAGGCGTGCGCACACACTAGCAACTTCATCATCGACATAGTACGCTGCCTATGACATCCACCTAGTTTATTTACCCATTCAGTCATTCATAAAACGTGTCTTAAGCTCCTCCTTGTGCCAGTCTCAGTTCTAGGTCCCCGTAGGAAAAGGAAACAGAAAGCACTACCTTCACAGAGTGGATCTTCTGTGGGAAAACATAGACAATAAACTAATAAATAGGTAAAATACGTAGTACCTTCAGCACGAGAAATACTGTGGAGACAAAGAAGGCAAAGAGGGTACAGAGATCAGTTGCAATTTAAAATAGGGTGGTTGGGAAAGAGATGGGTGAGGAAGTGACCTTTTACCAAAGACCTAAAGGAAGGATTTAAGGGAAGTGAGCAAGGGGACAGGTGGAGTGGGAGACGGGTGGGCAGCCAGGAGGGCGCCCTCTAGTGTGTGGATATTGGCTTCCACACCTCAGGAGATGGGAAGGCATCAGAGAGTTTTGAGCACAGGAGGGATGTGAGTTGGTTTAGGTTTTAAAAATTAGCATGCTGATGATCCATCAGGGGCAGTGTGCAAATAAGGCAGATCAGTGAAGGGGCTATGATGAGAATCCAGGCTGTGGAGGAGGATTTCTGATGGTGGACTCCCAATATCAATAAGAAAATGACTATCTGGGGCACAGGAGGAAAGCTCAGGCACCTAGCTCTAGAGGAGGGACATTGCCTCTGACAATCCCCTCCCTTACAAGAAGAAAACAGGAGGGCCCATCTAAAAAGGAAACTTTAGCTGAACACACTGGATTGGTGAAGAGAGAGAGAAAGTTCATCTTTGTCCATGCTGGCCTCTAACACAAGGAGGCAGATGAAATAGCACTGGGGCATTTCTTTGCTCTCATCACCCCATGAAAAGCATTCCCAGCTGACTTGGTAGATTGGCATGTCT